TAAACCATGATGTTTTTTTAAAGACTTTAAAATTTTGTGTATTACTTGTGTGTGTTGCATACTATATCCTCTTTGGGGAGTCGATCTTTTCCTGTACGGTCTAGGATTTGAACTCAAGTCAACAGGCTCGTGTGGCAAGCACATTTGCTGGAGAGTCATCTTACTGGTGCTAACTCATGGTATTTCATGCCAGAGGGAAGACAATGTTGTTCTTGTCCTTTAAGAAAAATAAAGCCTGGCCCCTGCACACATGGTGCTCACAGCATGTTGAGCATGATTTGGGCAAGCAGCAGGAAAGATGAATTGTAGGTCAACTACAAGCAACTGATGCAATGCAATTCCATGCTAACACAAATGTGGCTGTCCAGAAGCACAGTGAGGATTTAGGGAGGTGCCTAATGCTGAGCCTGTACTTCAGACTCTTATGGTCCCATAAGCCCCATACCAGAGTACCCACAACTATCCATCTGTTCACCAAAAGATACTTTTCTTATGTATTGCTGTGGGTTGGTATAATCTAAGATGTAAGATGGAGAGTCGAGGGGGCACATGCTGGATTGCAGTTGGGGAAAGCTTTCTAGAGCTGAGGTAGAGTCCTGAGGTCAGGTTGGAGGCTGCTCATATCAAGGCAAGTGTCACTTGTCCGTTATCCCACACTGTCACTATATCCTCAGAATGATGACATGCTTGGAATCTGGAATGTGTCCTCACAACTTCGCAGGTGGTCTCATTTATGCACAGCAAAGCACCTAGCAGACCAGACCTAGCAGATCTGAACACCATCCCACACATCTTTTCTTAGCCTCCTCCTTGTTGTCCCTGCTTGTTGCCATCCTAGAGTCACAACTGGGACTTCCTGGGGACAGACTTGTCCTCTAGTGAAATGAGGAGAGTGAGTGAGGGGGCCAGAAGATCTTCCCAACTTTAGGAGGGAGGACAGGGGGTATTTCCACATCAGTGTTCCTGCTGGGGAAATAGGGGGTGCTGGGTAAGGGATGATGGACTGGGGGCTCCAGGAAATCCTCCAAAGAACAATTTGTTGGCTGTGCTCATATCCTGCAGTGTGCCAGGCACAATTTGCTCTGGATCATGACATCTTCACAAGACACTGGCCCTACACCAGGTGCTGTGCTATGCGCACAGAGGCAAGGAAGGAGAGGACAAAGGAAGATAGTACTTTGGAAGGAATCACACCTACAAAGGCATACACAGGCCAGCAGGGAACAGTGTCCGGGGGCTAGTAAAGAGCACATAGGCCTGCACGCAAAAATGTTTGTTCATCAGCATTGAAAAATGCAAATATATAATAAGCAACAGGAATGAAGAAGAATGTCTGGGGTGGGGGCTGGGCCCTGACATGGGGGCCTGTGATGGTGGAGGACCTCCACTGGATCCTATCCTGAACACACGATGCCCTTGCTGTATGCTCATTTTAAACCTGGTTTCAGATTTCCAATGTAACCAAAATGGAAGTCCTCCTGCATGTTCCCTTATGCCCCACCTCTGTGACAATGTGGCACAAGGTGTCTAATACTCCTTATTGTCATGACCATTCATTCAGTACCTACTATATGTCAGTTGGAGAGGAGGATAGAATATCTTTAACCATAGTGAAGACACTGTTGCCTCCATTTGGAATATGAGGAACCGAGGCTCAAGAGAGAGATGTATTCTATGATGGCCCCTGTGCAAAGAACTCAAGAGACCTTTGTAATGACTTCTGGGAACCTTATTTCCCCCACAGTATTAGTTCAAAGGCAGGAGGGCAGGTGTGCGCCCGATTATTCCTGCTGGCCAGGGATACTCCCCCAGTCACTCAGGACTTCATTGTTTGTTGTGACTGTGATGGGAGCAGAAGTATCCATTGACAGGGAACTGGCTGAGTGCTGGGAAGTGAGAGCCCACCCTTAGCATTCTGGAGCTGAGGAAAATACATCTCAAAATGGTGCTGAGGGCAGTGTAAAATCACAGTCAGAGAGGGAGGGGCCTTCCCCTAAGGTCTGGGCCCCAAAACACTAGTGTGCCCCCCCTACCTGCTGGCGCCTGCCCCTCCCCTCTTCCACCCCATTAAGGCGGGTGAGGCTATCTCTCCACCTGAGTAATTATGTTCTCATTAGGAGCTGATCCACAGCAGCATGCTGCTCATGCTCAGACGAAATCCCCTGTGGGCTGCCCCAATGCTGCGAGCTCCTGGTGGCTCCAGGGACCTTGGATGGGCGGCCCTGCCCACTGGCCCACAGGATTTCTAGGAAAGGCGTACTCTATGAAGCTTTCCTGAGTTCCCCTCACCGCACTTCTATGCTTCTTGCTGCATGCCGACTGTCACCATCATGGAGAATATGCTTTAACCTCTGCCCTCGAGAGGCAGCAGTGTGCTATGATAGATAGCACTAGGTACCTCCATAGAAGGGTGCAGAGAAAGGATGACAAGTCTGCTATCCTGGGGTTTAGAAGTGGGGACCTACACTAACCAGGAGGAAGTAAGCAAGGCGACCAGGAACTTGGGGGGAGAAGCTTTTCAGACCCAGGGTAAGGCAAAATTCGGGGTGGTCCTGGAACCCCTCCAGATTGGGATCTGAAGCAGCTTATTTTAGATGAAAGCAGGAGGCACGGCCCAGATCTGCCAGGGATCAGAGGCTTCAAAGCCTTAAAGGGAACCAAAGGAAGGTGTAGGTTTTTAAATCACCCCACCCACCCACCACCTCCCAAGCTTCTGGGTGGGACAGGAAGGAAGTACACGGGGAACTGCAGCTCGCTAGGGCCTTTCTTCTCCATCCATCTCCAGCCTGTCACTTAGAGTCTCTCATGACCCCAACTGGGAACCCAGTTTTCAGGCATAGGTTGTCTCATCTGTCTCTGACCCAAGGAATACTCAGCCTCCATCTTCACCCCAGAAAAGAAGATGCCCAATTGTCACACACCGGGAACATGAGGGAGGTGTCCACCACCCTGCTCAGGCAAATGTGAGTGGTCATTCCATGTGAAACCTAAAGCAATAAGTGGTTCCTTCCCTGCTAACACCACACTGGGCCCTCCCTGGAGGGCAAGGAGCAAGTGGGCAGAAAGCCTTCTATCACCTGCTCTATGGGTTGGGACAGCCCCCAAGAAGAGGCAGACTTTTAGGCCAGCTTAGGTCCTCTTGTAGAATGGGATTTTGGAAAAATTAAGGAAAGAATGATAGTTTCAACTTCAAGGTTTAGGTGGCATGTCTAGGTACACAGAGAAAAATGGGAGAGGAGTAGTCAAATGCCACGGGGAAGGGCTGACAGGTGAAGGAAGGGATGTAGAACCAGATGCTAACTCGGGTTTCAATGCCAACCTAGGGAGCATGGACCCAATCCTACCAGAGGCCAGGTAGATCTGGAGCAGAATCAGAGAGAACTTTCCCTCTTCTATCTCTGGGTCCACTGGCTCTAGCTTCACTTACTGGCTCTGATCTGGGCCCCAGTTGAGATCCACAGCCCCTGCCCCCTTCCAGGTTAGTGTAGTGCCAGTCACTCACTGAAGCCATAGGCCCCTGGTCCCAGACCAGAGAATGGTTGGGTCCCCAGAGGAGGGACCCCAGAGATCCCTGCCTTTACACAGAAGGGCAACCTGAGCGCAGGGAGAATCGCCCAAGTTATCCAGGTGGAACTCAGCCTGTTGGTTCCCCAGCACTGGGATGGTTCTGCTCTTAAGAGGAGGAATGGACAGCATTCTGGAAGCTCCTTCTGGAAGCAGTTTGCGGTAGCAAGCGCTTAACCCCCACAGCCTGTAAGCCAGGAGCGGTGGAGCTGGCCTCTACAGTAGGCTCTGCACAGCTGAGTTGTTGGTGGAGGTAGTTCCCTGGCAGACTCCCATTGTCCTTGACCTGTCCTTCCCAGCGTGAAGCTTGAAGACAAAGTAGCCCTTACTAAAAAGAAGAAAAGAAAGAAAGGAAGGAAGAAGGAGGGAAAGAAGGATGGAAGAAAAAGAAAAGAATTGCTTTTCTACTAAATTCCTGTAAGGCCCCTCTTCCGATGGGACTGAAGCAGGGGGGAGAACTGTAGGAATGGGAAAGACAGGCACTCCATTGTGCCTCACTCTGGAAGCCCCTTGTCCCCCACAGTTCCCTGGCCCCTGGGTCTGTGAAGGACAGGATGCTGCAGCATCTTAGACTGTGTGGTTGAGAAACTGAACTCAAGTTCCCAGCCCAGTGGTGTTTGTGAAGCGAACAGGAGAGCAGAAGGCAGAAATGTCAGTAATTTTCCTGCCCTAGCTGTTATTAACCCCGTCCCCTTCCCCTCCCCCCAGAACCACTTAAACTCGAATCTGAATCTCAACCCAAGAGGAGAGCCCAGAACCACGGAAGCCCACCCGGGTCGCAGATCTCGGCCCTGGGCCCTGTTTCCACCCGCTTCTGGCGTTGTATCACCCGCGTCCAACACAGGGGCAGCTTTCCAGACTTAAAACGAAGTCGTTTATTTCAATTTTGCTTTCACATTATGTTTCGATACAATCAAAACTTCTGGACGCACCCCTTTTAAAGTCCTGCCAAAGAGCGCAATCGCAGGTCGGGGCGCCTGGGATTGTTTGGCGGGTGGATTTCAGGTTCAGAGGTGCTGGTACAAAATAAAAGGTGCTTCGGGAGCTGCGGAGTGGACAGAGCTGGAGACATCCAGGGACAGTAGGCGCGAAGACACTGTCACAAAGAGCAGGCGGGTTCAGGTCCTAGAATTGGAGGTTATTCCTGATGCATTTGGAATTGAGGGTGGACAACAAACTGCTTTCACGCCCTCAGTCACGCCTAGCAGGATCTGGGTCAGATCTCTCAGGTCCCAGTAAAGCAGGGAGCACAGGGATGGAGAACCGGCCTGCAGGAGGAAGGAATCGCAAAACCGGCTCTGTGAAGAAAAGCCTTTTTGCCCGGCCTCTCTGGTTGCATCTTCCAAGCCTCCTGCTTCTCCGCCCATCTTGGGCAACCCAAGCCCTCAACCTTGCAACCCGGAAAATGCGAAGTTTAGAAAGCTGTTTCAGAAAAATAAAAGTCCCACTTTGACTTTATTGGATTAAAGCAAAATTAAATTTTGGCTATTCACACGTATGTTACAGAGGAAGAGGAAGCGTCCCGAAGAACCTTCTTGGCGGTTGGTGGAGCCACAGAACACAGGGCATTGACAAGCATCGGAAAACAAACACCAAGCAGCCTTAGATTTCACGATCACTCCGAACAGGACAGAAATACGGAATACAGCCAGCGTCCACCGTAAGAGTTCTTCGTGTACAAATGATACATATACATATTTATGTATAGTTAAACCAGTCACCACGAAGGCGAGTCCTTCCTCTGCTAACAAGCAGCTGAGGGCGAGTCTCTCAAGCTTAACTCGCGCGGTGTTTGAAGAGCAAAACCTGTTATATTAAAACTACCTGCCCCATTCAAAAACAGAAACAGAAAACAAACAGACCCCCTCTTCAAACTGGGGAGGAGGGGGTATACTAAGTTTCAGTAAGTGGCAGGGTTCAGAAGGGGGTCGGGTCGGGAGAAACATTTCACATTACTTCGTTAATTGTTGGGGACATGGACGGGTAAGGAACAATGACAAGGCAGTCTCTTCCTCGATTACCGCGACTGGCTTGGGGGAGGCGAGTTTAATTTTGGAAATGGGAGTGTGCAGAGCTAAGCGAGATTTACTTCTCTTTAGACAGGGAGCGAACGAAGTTGGACCGCGGGCGGCGCGCACCTTTGTACCCAGTCGTAGCTAGGAACACGTAGGAAGTTTCCGGTGGCGCCGCTTCCTCGCCCTGGTAATTTTCGGCCTCTTTTTCACTCCCCTCCTGCCTTTCTCCTGCCTCCATTCCCGTTACCGAGCCAGTCAAAGGGGAAACACGAGGAATCCAGAGAAGGTTGAGTACTTCCAGCCCCCCATCAAGTTCCCCCGCTCCAGCTTGAGGTATGCTCGGTCGCCTTTCTCCATCTGGATGAGGACGCCGTTGCTGGCGGCCTCACGGGTCACGTCTTGGTCACCGGCGAAAGCTGAAATCACCGGCCACCCGTTCAACATGAGGCTCACCTGAGAAAGAGAAAGGCCTGCGTCAGCCGCGCCGCCTAAGCGGGTACCCAAGCGACCGGGCAGAGCCAACCTAGGTGCTTGGCTAGCTGCCCCAAAGGCCTGGGGGCACCGATCCGGCACGAGGCGAGAGGGGCGAAATCGGACTTAGCTGCTCACTCTGAAGGCTCTAAGGACGACCCACTTTGTATCTAGGTAGCGGAAGGTTCTACCTCTCTAGAGCGGCAGGAGCGCGCCAAACTAATCCCGTCTGGGCAAAATGCAGATTAGTAAACCCGCAGGTGGGTGTAATGTCCTGAGACCTTTGGCCTTTCGCCAGTTTGACCGGAGCAACTCTGCTCCCTGCGCGCCCTAAACACCCGGGGCCTCAACTGGTGTCTGTGGCCAAAACACTGGAGGCGAGGGGCGGCGGGATGCAGATTAAAAGCGGCCAGGAGTGGATGTCCGGAATTCCGAGACCTGCGAAACTGCACTAGAGCTCCCTCCCTAAGCCACCCGCTCAATTCTCGCACCAGATCCTGCTGCGCCCGCCATCGCCTGGTTTTGTGCCCTTGCAGAAGCAGTGTCGGCCTAGGGCCAGGCGCCCTGTCCCCAGTTGCGCTTTCTGCCTCTGCGGGAGCTCTAAGGTAACCCAGACATCTTTGGGGGCCTGGCTAGCTGCTGAGTGCTGGCCTGGACACGGCTGGACCAGGAGGAAATAGCCCTATTGCTCCCATCCCCACCTCGTCCTTTTGATCTGCCCACCCTTGGAGACAGACTTAAGTTTAAAAAACAAGTCTGCAAAGGAAGGGTGTTGGTTTAGGGGGACGGGATTCTGTCCAAGGTGCTGAAGAAAATCGGAAAAGCTTCCAGAGAGGCTTTGGGGCTGCAGCGAATTGGTGAGCCTAGAAAGCCGGCGTGGAGATCTTATTATAAAAGCCGTAGCTGTCTGTGGAGCTAATCACCTTTACAGGAAGTCCCTGGAGCCCCTAAGGAAAACCGAGGGACCTTTACAGAAGGTCCCAGAAAGCGAAGGACAGAAAATTGTCTCTAGAGATGGAACTGAGTCTCAGGAACCTTGGACAGCTTAAGGGGCGGTACACACCAAAGAACCCTGAGGCCCCGCTACCGGTCCTCGGAGCAGCCAGGGCGTATGCCTCTGATTTCTGCCTCCCTCTCCCACAGAGCCTCCGACAGACCCCTACGGCCGCAAAACCCCTACTGTGAGCCTGGCCCCCAGGTGGCAGCTGACCTGGATGGTCTGTCTGTTGTAGACTTTCACCACGTGGAAGTTAAAACTGTAGATCCCTTTGCGCGGGGCGATGAAAGTGCTCCGTTCTGAGTCAAAGTTGTTCCCGATGTTCACTAGTACCTATAAGGAGATTGGAACGAAAGGGGGTAGATCGGAATACATCCGAGCGTGGTCCTCTAGCCTCCGCAGAGCCCTTGGAGAGGACCCCACATCTGATTTCCACGCTCTCCCTGCCAATCCCCTCACTAATCCGTTCTGGATGCTGCAAGAGAATGGGGGAACTCACCTGATCGAAGTAGATGATCATGGTGCGATTACTCATCTCGGACGGCTCATGGTTGGTGCTCCTGATGGCAGAGAAAGCCACCTTGGCGCTGCCCGAGCGCACGGAGATGCCCAGAGCAGTGCCAGTAGGGTCAGACGTGGGGTTGGAGTCACACACCACCAGACACTTGCCCTCCAGCACGATGGGCTCTGTCTCATTCTGCCCGCGGGCTGGGCCTGCCAGCCACGCAGCCCCCAACAGCAGCAGCTCCACGACGCCCAGCATCGCGCCGCCGGCGCCCACCCCGCCCCCCACCCCGGGGGCTGCCAGCGCCAGCTGCCCCCCTCCCCAGCCCTGCTCCGAAGCCCCCTCCTCAGCTCTGTGCACAGCTCCGCCGACGCCTCCCGAGCCACTACGCCTCTCTCTCGGACTCCAGGACAAACGTCCCCTTTCGCGGTGCACCCGGAGCCCGGCCCGGGCCTCAGGGGTGCCGCGGCCGCCCAGCCGCACTTGGATGCATAGCCTCTGCTGCCTGGTCCCCGCTGTTGCCGCCGCCTCCCGTCCGCACTCGCCGCTGCCGCCGCTGCCGCCGCCGCCGCCGCTCTGAATTATTGATGCAGCGGGCGCTGCAGCCGGAGCGGGCAGAGAGCGCGCGCCGGGCACAAAGGCGCGGACCAAGCCTGGCCCCGCCCCCGCCCCTCCCAGCCGGCCTCCCCGAGCGGCCCCGCCCCTCCTCAGTCGAGGCCCCTCCCCCCAGCCAATAGCGACGCACCGCGCTCCCCGCCGAGCCAATGGCTGCCCTGTCCGCGCGCGGCCACCTGACCGGGGCGCCGTTGTTATTAGGCGCGGCGAGGCGGGCGGCGCGCGGCAGCGGGGCTGGGCTCCGTCCGGGAGTCGGCGGAGGGAGCGAGGGAGGGAGCGCGCGCGCGTTCCCGGACAGTCCACCCACCGCAGCCGCTCTCCCCGAGCCTTCTCCGCGGTCGTGTTGCCCGCAGTCTCCTCGACCTCCTCGCGCGCCCTGTTGGCGGGCCCTCAGGTAGGAGGTGGCAAGCGGCGGGTGGCGAGTGCAGGATCTCTCTGGCCGAGAGGTGCCGCGCGGGTGGGGGGTAGCGAGGGCAGGGGGGGTAGCGAGGGCAGGAGCGCCCCCCCGTGGGCGCGGGCTCGCGGGGCAGCAGCAGCCGCGGGCTGGTTAAGGGCACGTACGTGCGGGGCGGGGCCTGCGTGGCGGCCCGGGGGCGCACGTGGCTCGGGCAGGACATCCGTGCGACCCGGGGTCACGCGTGGACTCGTTCTCTCGAGGACAGGTGTACGGGCGAGATAGGTGGGCCTCGCTCCCGGACGCGAAGCGAGAGCCCGTAGTTTTCTCCTTGGTTCTTGGAACGTGTTTTGCGTCCGCGCGCATAAGAGCTGTGCGCCTTTCCCGTGTGCCTTGTGCCTTCACCGCCCCCCACCCCGTCCCTATAGACATAAACCACATACGTATTCGAAAACAAAATGAAAAGGCATCCTCGCCCATGTAAGGACAGGAACTGCGGAGGTGGGCCGCTCCCGCGTCTCGAGGCAGGAACGCAGACAGGTAGGCCGAGGTCAGAGGGCTGTGGATCTTGAGTGGAATCCAGACTGAAGCGGGCTGGGCTGGTACTTGCGCACAGCCGGAGCGCGAAGAAGAGGCCACCAGCCGCGGGAGCGGGAATGTGGCTGTGTGCGGCGATGCAAGCCTTGAGTTGTTGGTGCCAAGGTGGCCTTAGGGGAAGGCTGACAGCTTTTCCCTCGCTAGCCTCGGAATTCTGGGACAGCCACACCTGCCACTTCCTCAGCCTTTTTGGGGGAGGGGGTACCAATTTAAAGAGTTACGGAGGAAACCCAATAGCAGACCAGACCTCTGCCTCTGTTGTGTAGCCTGCCTGTAAGTGCCCCATGAGCAAGAGGAAAGAGGTGAACGGATAGTTTTTCCAGTTCCTATAGTTTGAGAAATCCCCAGAAAGCATTGCTAGCTGTGGTGATGCCTAATGTTCTCATGCTCATGCTCTGGCATGAAATAAAAGGTGAGAGCTGGATAATGAGGCGGCAGCTCTAACCTTGAAAGGTGCTGGAAAACACCCACAGGAGCAGTAACCTAGCCTTGCAGTGTCCTGGCCACTGCCGACATTGTCGGCCACTCCAGTGTCTCCTAGCACCTGCTGAGTGATGCCCAGTTCAGGTGCAACCACGGGCAAGACACGGGAGTCATAATCCTGTTTTCATGGAGCACATAAACAGGTAAGATTGCCTTTACCTAGGCGGGCCTGCTCATCGTGTCCTCCGATGAGGCTTTGGTGACAGTGCCCACTGCTGGACTATCACCCTGATGTCAAGGATTCTGGCTATTGTATTCTGTCTGGTCCACACCAGTGCTTCTCAAAGGCCTGCAGGCCTTTGCATGTATGTTCTGCAGACATCATTATCTGAGCCATCCTTTGTTTTCTTTCCTGCCCTCAAACCCAAGCTTCTTTTCCTGTCTCAGCGAACAGGGGAAGAACCTCCCATGTGTGACCTGTTTCCATCCCTGTGTCCTGTTTATGCCATCCTCATTAGGCTGCACTTTGGGTCACTTGCCAGAACCTGGTGGTGTACCATTCCCAAAGTCAAGACTCACGTCCTGCCTTACCCTCTTTATGCCTATGCCTTCATTTGATGACATCTGTGAAGGCCTGTGACCTCCACGTCTCTCCATGTAAGATTTCAAATCCATCATGCCCCTAGCTCCCTCATCCCTTTCCTGTGTACTGTTAAAAATAAATCAATGTTTATGTAATGTTTATAGTATATGTGACCCTGAGTTGTGATGACTAAAGGATACTATGTAAATGAGAAAGAAAAGTCATTAGAAATGTGAGACTCGATCACTCTTTTAGGCTTCTCTGGTTTTTAGAGTCAGGATTCCTTTAGACCAATGGTTCTCAACCTTCCTAATGCTGTGACCCTTTATTAAAGCTCCTCATGCTATGCTGACCCCCAACCATAAAATTATTCCATTGCTACTTCATAACTATAGATGCTACTGTTATGAATCATAATATGGATATCTTGTATATAACCTCTGTGAAAGTGTTGCTGGACCCTTGAAGGGGTCTTGACCCACAGGTTGAGGACTGCTATTCTAGGGGCAGGTGACAGCACCAGTTCATATTTTTACTTGATAAATGCCATATGCCTAGGGTTGTCTGACCACTTAATTCCAGCATGGTTGGAGCTGTGATACTAGGCTCTCTTTTCTAGTTTTGGCTGCATGTTCATACAGATTGTTTTCATATAATATAAATCTTTACAAGGTACTATCACCTGAGTCCTAGGAAGAAACAGTCCCCTTCTGTCAATACTTGAAGTTAAAATCTCAGAACCATTCTCATATGGGACAGTTTGAGTCACTTGCTAGTTATCCCTGATTTTTTTTTTTTTTTTTGAGGTTTATTTAGCCTTAAAGCCAAAATGCACTTTACATGGTAGAATGAAATAAATATCAATATTTGATTGTAACGTTTTATTTTTTCAAAACTGTTGGAATTAGTTTTTATCGTTTCATTTTTTAGGTTTCCAGAAGATAGATACCTAAAATTCCCTAACATTCATCCAATGGTAGGAACAAATGAAAAATTGAGTTGGAGCAATAAAAAAAAGTTGGTAGTTTTTGAAATGTGCATCTGTGGGCTTTAACTTGTTTTGGCCTTCTGGTATAAGGTGTTACAAAACTGCTTCAGTGAGGCTTGTAAATTAATGTGGTAGAAAGATTTAGTGAGCTACAGATTACCCATAATGAATTTGAGCTGTTTTTGTTATCCCTTACTCTGGCTTTAAGCATGGCCTTGCATTTTTGGTGAGCTCAAAGGCAGTTTCCTCTTGCTGTGTTCTGAATTTCTATCTGCAGTAAGAAGGAAATACATCAGCAGCCTCCACGGGCGTTATCCTGCCCCTGGAGGCTGTGCTCCCCCTGCTCTTGGCAGCAGTGCTCCTCTGCTACTGGCAGCCAGGCTCCCCCCCACACTCACCCCCACCCAAGAATAGCCTGGGAATGAGAGGACACATCCAGGAAAGGCAGTATTTTCTCACAGGACTGGATCATTTTGTTAAATCAAAATGGATTTTCCACACCAAACAGGATTTCGTCTCTGTAGTCTTGGTTCAAAGGCCCAGCCAATGCTGATCCCTGGGATTTGGGTTCATTTCTTCCTAAATTAAAAGGGAGGGACTGCTTTATTCTGAAAAGTGTTACATTTAGGGTATCAAAGGCCATTCAATTCAGTGCCTGGGAGACAGATATCCTACAAACCATGGGTCTGATCATAAGTTATTCCAGTGAAATAGTCTTTTGGCTTTCACGGAAGCCTATCTTCCTGTTGCCTGGTCAGACTCAAGTTGATGGAACATTGTTGCTCTCCAGTCCTAAAGGTTATGCTTCACAATTAACTTCGTAATTAGACACCTTTAATAAAACTCAGCCTTTTGTTTAGTGAAGACCAGGTTTGCAACATTTTGCTTTCTAATTTTTTTTATTACAAAAAAAAAAGAATACATATAAATTGCTCTTGGATCTTATACCAGGCTTTACATTTTCTTACCATGTTCAGATAGAAAGACTGTTTTCTGAATTAAAAGATACAAGAAAGTTTTCAGAATGAAGCATTAAGTATGCTGTAGCATGTGCAGGTAGGCTTTTCATGTGAAGATTTTCTTCAGATAGGTGAGATTTCCTTTAAGGTCAAAGGAAAAAACATAATGGAATCCTGCAGGTAGGTAGGGGTGGGTGGGTGTGTGTGTGTGTGTGTGTGTGTGTGTGTGTGTGTGTGTGTGTGTGTGCAACCTCAAACACTAGTTGGGCTTTTTCCCAAGAAATAATTATTTGCTGTTTCCCATACTTGCTTATGAAGACAAATGAAGGTTTAGCCAATTCAGCAGACATTCATGGAGTGCCAACGGTGTGTGAAATCAGGCCTCTGTTGCACAGAAGCCAGCAGTGTGCACCATTTCTCACCTTTGCCTCCAGCTCTGCTCAGCAGGCTTCCTGAAAATGGCAGCTTTGACTCTTCCTTCTTTGTGTTTACCTTTATCCTGTAATCAGAAGATAGATAAAATCTACACACACACACACACACACACACACACACACACACACAGTGCACACGAAGTTAATGAATCAGAGAACTTCAAACAAATGATTGGAATGTATACTTCAAATTGAATGTGTGAGAGAGCTGTTGGGTATTGTCACTGTGGATGGCTGGATTGCCATTTTGGAAGAGTTACCTCCAGTGGGGCCTTAGGTAAACCCCTGCACTGTATGTTTACCTACAGTTAGATGAAGATTCCCCATGGCTCAGAGAGCTCTCAGATGCACCTTTGAGAAGGCTGCTAACCAGAGAGATTGTTGAACCTGAAAACAATTGAGTAGATCTTTAAGGATGGAGAATATAGAAACATGATGATAGAGACTGTATTTTTTTTTAATTCCTCTCAAAAAGAAGCATTTCCAAATGGTATTTCCTAGCAGACTTATTGCAGATAAGTCGGAGGCCCATGCTCCGTCTTCCACTCCATGTCAGTCAACTATA